GAACATTAATTGCAATTCTATTATGGAACATTAATAATGAAAGAGAGAGAGACAATGGTTTCATGGTACTTTCCAGAAGCTTCAGAGGAATTTCACATCCTTAAACATAATGAACATCTGCTATTATGAAAAAGAGTGTATCAACAGAGACAAACATAGCTTAATGCAAAGGGATGAAAATCTTCGTTCTTTATTGCTAAGATGTAATGATCTTTTTCAACAGAACAGAGAACCCAGTGGGGTCAACTTTTCTTTAATATTGCAAAACACTTGTTGAATCTAAAAAGAAGGTTGCATCTGTTTTTATTTATTCATCTTTCCAAAAACACTTCCCAGCTTCCTCTTCTTGCAATAGAAATGGATCCCCCTAGCATGAAGGTGCCACCACTGTGTTTCAGTGAGGGAATAGAGCGTGTTGGTGGAACATTACTTATCTCCACAGGTGAAGTTTTGGATGGAACTTAAGAAGTCATAGGATAATTTTCATTATTCATGCTCGTGCTTCTCTAGTCTTAATAATACCTGTCTGTTAAGTGTTAACATTTCCAATAAGTCTATCTAACTAGGACCGTTCTTCTGTCAGGAAGGGAAAGAGGGGAAAAATATTTGGAAATATAATGAGGGAGCATAAAGACAGAGTGGATTATATTTGAAGGTATTGTGAAGTATTTTCGCAATTTTTTAAAAGACCTGCCCTCTCCTCTGCATGCACAACCCTGTACCCGCTCCCAAGAGGGAACACCCATTAAACGCATGAGAGAGCATGCACGAGCCCACCTCTCCTTGTGCATGCTCTGTTTAAAAGTTGCTGTTCTCATAGTTCAGACAAGCTTACTGTGCCTAAATGTCCGCCCTAAACCCTAAATCTCTCAATTACTATATAAAGCAGGGAATATATAGTGGACTTTATAGTGAACTCAGCTAACCTACCATTGGGAAAGAGGATCATAATTTTTTGCTCCTCCTAACTCACGTAACTCCTCCTCCTCTGTGCAATGCCTGTGCCATCTTTGCTATTAGTAGTCGCTGTCGGGAAGCAACAGCTAATGGCGACAGCGGGCTGCTGTGACAGGAAATCCCATAATGCTTTGAGAGGAGAACTCTGCGCAAGGCAGCCTGGGATATATCTGCCTCTTCTGAGGCCTTTCTTTTCTTCTAATGCACTTTGTAAACACTTTTTCTCTTATGACCCTTGTCCATTTTCAAAGATCCGTGGTGAGAAAGGTGAGCAGAAAAAGACAGACAGACAGACAGATAGTTAGGAGGACCACTTATTTAGATGATCCACTCGGAAATAAAAGATCATCCTCTAAACCTTTAACAGAGATCTCTGTCACTGAGAATTGGGATTGTCCTTGATCTTGAATAATGTGTTTGTTTTCTTGATATCACTGGAGCCAGTGATGTCTCCCCATTTACAAACATGTGTATATATAATGATGGTGAGATGTGATTATGTGGTAGGTTGGGACTCTTGAAATCTATCAAATGCTTCCTTAATTATTATTCTGGGCCGTATTCCAATGAAGGGAGCCCGATGGTAAGTGCTGCCATTTCTCTGCTTTGAGTAAGATAAATTCTGTTAAACCTGCAGTCACATGTTATAGTCAATTAAAACATATAAATCATAAAATCTTATTTAACGTATTTGTTCTGAGACATCTCTTCTCAAAAGAATCAGGGAGAGCTTAAAGATATAAACACATAGCTTTTCATTACAAAAGTTAAAGGTATAGTAGAGGATGCTCTTTTTCCAGGTGCATCATCAAAATAAGTTGTCCTTCTAATTGTCCATCATTCTGGTGATATGTTTACATAAGGCCATCCTGTGTGCTCATCCCCATTTTCACTTATGGGTGGTGAGTCTGACATAGTGGAAAAATTGTAAATCTTCTTTTGGAAAGTAAGCTTGTATGAGCGATGCAAACAGCAACTTTTTAACCGAGCGTGCACGAGTAGAAATTGGCTTGTGCATGCACTCACACATGTTTAATAGGTGTTCCCACTCGCCAGTGGAAACAGGGTTGTGTATGTGCATTTTTTTAAAGTAGAGAGGGCGGATCTTTTCAAAAATTTGTGAAAATCCACCGCTATACCTTTAAATTTTGTTTTTATCTGAGCAGAACGATTTTTTCACACTTAGTGCATGCAAATAGTTCTTGTTTTTATTCTGCAATATTTTTCTTCTTTTTAAAATAGTTGTCCTTCTGCCAGAGGATCTCCCTGTAAAAGCTCTCCAAGAGTTTCTATGGGGCTGTTTCTCCATTGATGCCTTTACCACTGACCTACATGTTTAATAAGAATAAAATTAATTTCAATTAGTTACATACAGTATGACACACTTTTCAGACTTTTTTTCCACAAAATAAATTTTTCTTCTACATCACAATTATAGATACCGTTGCTCCATCACATGAAATCAGAATAAATTTGAATTGGATACAAAAAACATTGTTAAGGCAAACCAAAAAAAAAAAAAAAAGGATGGTTGATGAGAAAGGACATGGGCATTTATATACTAATGTAATATTGTAGATTTCTTCACTTCCCTGACGCCAATAGTGACAGAGACAGTTAATAATAAATAGGGGAAAGCACTAGCTGAGCCAAACAAGGCATAAAATGTACAGCTACTTAAGCCAAAAATAATATGAGCAGTATGCTTACAAAGCCTTAGTGCCCCAAAAACAAAGAAAACTCTTTTAGTGCCGCTGTTGACTGCAACTCATAGGTGCCGTTAGACACCAGATCACTGCCACTCCTGCACCTGGTCCACCACCTGCCACTTCAGGCAGCTGAACGACGGCTGCTCACATCTGTTCGCACCCATGGAGACACGACTACACCGTGAAATAAATGACCTCTTCACTACATGAAACATGGTTTGATATTTGTGGCTAAGCTGCGCCACAAAGTGAAGCCTCAAGCAGTTTAGTGAAAGTGAAACAAAACTGTATTTAGCAAGAGAAAGGAAAAAAACAACAACAAAAAAAAACACACACACACATTAAGAGTTCACACCTGGCATTTTATCAATATGTCATCTTTGTAAGACAAAAGCTCAAGACAAAAACACCTTCACAAAGTTACACATCTATGTACAATTCTGCATTTTAAGAAAACAAAGTAAAACTTTAGCAGTTATGCAATAAATAAATAAGAACAATGAAGATATTTTCTGTACATTTCAACTTATACCAAACTAAATACTGCCACTGCTGTACTGCTGCTGCAGCAAACTACAGAAAAACATATTTGTCTGTCTTATAATGTGTGTAAAAACAACAGGACACATCCAAAGCATTGGCACAGATCTTTTAGAGAAACAACACAAAAAAAAACTGAAAAAACAGTACACAAATATGCGAAATCACTGTTCAGTGAAAACTCTGATAAAGAAAGCAAATCGGCATCAGGAACGCAGCTTTGTATGGTTCTGGACACTTGAAATAATCTAATAAGTCTGATTTCCCACATGTAAAATTTCATAAAATGTTATATTTTCATCAGAAAAAAAAATGTCCAGGAATGCAGGGTCAGGCTGTGTTTCTCGAACAGAATTCTGTTTCATGCTAAAAAAAAAATTCATGCTAAAAAAGCTCAAATGTCACAAAATTACTTTAGCATTTAGGGCAAAGATAAGGTAAATCTGCATATTTACAAATCAAATTTCCTGTTTTTCTTAAATATTTTGCCAAATATTTACTCCAGATGAAAAATTAAGAGACCATAGTAATTTTAAAGGGCATTTCTGAGAGGATCACAACGTTTAGAGAACATTTGGTATTTTTTTTTGCCTCAGCTGTTTTGGCTCAGACGATTCGAACGATTCAGAAACCTGGATGGTAACCTTGCTATTTCAGTGGAGGGCATGGGGGTTTTGGCCAGGAAGAATTTAGAGACAGCTTCACAATCAAGTTAGAAATATTGAAAATGTAAGTATTTATCAGTTATTGTTTCCCTACCATATGGACGCACTGTAAAAATAGAAATATGTGTGTATGTTATAAATATGTGTATTTTGCATTTTTTTCAGCAGATAAGCAAGACTATTTGCAAGTGGAATGACATAATAAAAATAAAGTCATCTTATTTTAAGTGCATAATATCTAACTATTTTAGTTAAACGACAAAAATACTCATTCCCCTCATAGATCATGTTATTCAACTGCTCAGATAAAGTGCAAATACACCTATTTAAACAAAAATTTGTGCTTATTTTTAGATTTGTTTTTTACGGTGAAGAATTCCTCAGTATTGGAAGGCTAAACGCTAACCGGACAGTTATCCTCATTTTAGCCTGTTTTGGCCGACACAGCCACCAAACTAAAAATACTAATGTAAATCCAGATAACTGTTTATAAACTGCTTTACATTATTTTATCATCAGTCTGAACGTAAACTATGTTCTCAGTTTGTTTCATACATAAAAAATCCTAGGCTACCTACCTACATTTCCTGTACAAATACCCCCCGACTAAGTAACTATCCAACACAAACATGACCTAACTTTCACAAAATATCCTTCTTAAAAAAACCTCTATGACACCTTTAATTTGACTCGTTTAAGACAACAAATATTAAATTCCTTTCACACCAAACAAAAACACCAGCTTCCTACACTTGCTTAAAAAAACTCCAAGCAGTACTTCTCATGTTTGCCTTCCACTCTTTCGTGTTAATCCCTGGTAAAACACAAACAGTAATGCAACTGGGAAATTTCTACTGAAACAAATAAAAAATATATAAATAGCAGTGGATCTGCAAAAACTGCAATTTAATGCAGTGTTAAGAAAAAGCACTTGTAGAAATGCAGCTGGTGTTTTCATCTATATAGGGTGCAGCATTTTTTATTTTCTCCAGGTTTGAATGTATTAAATATGGTGCTCAATAGATGAGGTGTGTGGGACGGGAGCAAGACACAGAGAGACATATATATGTATATACACAACATAAGGTGCATGACACATGTGAGACAATGTCTGGCTCTTTATAATAAAAGAGAAAGAAATAAAAGAGCAAAGAGATATTTCATTTTTCGAATTGGAGACGAGTGAAATGTTTCTGGGTGCTGTCCGTGTTGGCCTTCTATTCAGAGGAACACAATTGTTTCCTCCCGTCCGTCCTCCTGATCGCTGTCTGTCTCCAAGGAAACCAGCGTGTTCAGCTCCAGCTGATGCTCACTGGGATGTGTGAGCTGTGGATTGAGGTCAGCCGTCGACATCCAGGTCTCCCCATTATAGCTATGATCTGAATGACCACAAAAGAAAAAAAAAAACAGATTTCAATTCCACACCGAAAACAGAACACTAATAGACAATAAACAAGCCTATTTAAAAGCTACTTTAGTGCACATTTGGGTGCTGAAGGTAGACAGGTAGAAAGGACCCAAAATGCTGGATTTGAATGTGTCACTAAGTGCATTGAAATCTAACAATCAACCAGCAAAGTGCATAAAATAACCTGAAGACATGTCAGACAGCCAGAAATGAACTCAACTTCAAAATATGCATTAGTTCTGCAACAATATATCAATATACTTTAAAGATAAATAATTTTTTAACATTTGTTAATGTTATATTTTTTATTTGTAAAAAGAAAGACTAAAATAACTGTTAACTTTTAAGTATTTATCTGTGCCTTCAGAAACTAAAAGGAGAAGAAAAGAGTAACAATTGTGGCCACGATAAGGTGCAGAATACAGGAAATATTTTTAAAGAATTTTGAGTGTTTCTACAAATCTACTACTATTTATTTCTCCGTAAAATACAACTGAAACCAAATATGTAAACTCTATAAAAAGATACAATCCTTTTTTTCTTACTAGATGACATTAAATAAAACAAATGTTGGTTTTGGTTAAATATTAATTTAACGGCCAGAATAATTAAAAAGTTAAACCTTTCACAGATTCATTCAGTTTTTTAGGAGTCAGAATTTCATATAAGTATCCTTAGTATTAGATATAATTGACTATCAATGGCCATGACTGTGGTCTGCTTAAAAGCTTCTCAAAACAAACAGCTGGAATGTTACACATTCCTTCTAGTCAGATTTATAGACCATCTTGCTTTCACAACTCTTTATAGCTCTGCCTGCAGATTCTCAATCTGATTAAGATAAGGAAGTGGTGTCACTTCTAAAATGGTCTTTGTTTTCACCACTTAACTCATTAGGATTAGAATCATTTGAAGGATTTACTTGTGTCCAAGCTTTTATTTTCCTGACTGATATATTGAAACCGTGCTTTAATGATATCAATTTTGTGATGTGCAACAGTCCCTCCTGGACTAAAACACTCCCCGAGGTCATGCTACCATCGCAAAACTGCAATCTTATCATTTTATGATGTTTTTTGAGTGCAAATGTTTCTTTCTGAGGGAACTCACTTAGAGGGACGGAGTAATTAAAACAGTTTATTTATACAGTTTTAGTTCATATCTGGTTTCATCTGTAACACAGGTTAAAAACTACATGTTAGAGCGTGCTTTGGTGGCGCGGTGGTTAGCGCACATAACCCATGTTTGGAGGCCTTAGTCTTTGACACGGACGACCTGGGTTTAATTCCAACCTATGGTCCTTTGCTGCACGTCTATCCCCCTTTCCTGTTAGCCTACTGTCCAAAAAATGAGCCACTAGTGCTGTAAAAACCCAAAAAAAGAAAAAAAACTTGTGCTTTTTTTTCTGTTCAGATAACTGGAAACAGCAAAAGAAGTGATAAATCATTTAATGATCTCTGCCTGATTGGTTGACCGATGTTTTTTTAAACACAGCCCACAGATCGACCACAGCAGCCGGGCTTTGGGTTTCCATGATCAAAGTACAAGATGGCTAAAATAGATCCTATAAATCATTGCTTTTTGACTCAGAACAGCCAAATTTATTATCTATTCATCATCTTCTCAAACATAATCAGATGGCTGGATTCGAGCAGAGCTTCCAGCTCGCTCTTAATGTTTGGCAAACTGGAAGACATGCAAATCAAACAAAAACAAAGAAAAAAAGGGAAGAAAATCATTTTTTTTTTGTTTAAAATGTTTTGGAGCAGCTTGCAGCTCTGTTAATATAAAAGAAGGTATTAGATGCCAACTGATTTAGGCATATATGGATACATTTTCTAAAATAAACAAAATCGAACAAAGCCTATATGCAGGCTGCATGTAGCTGTGCATTTGGGGTAGATTTGCATCTTTATGTTTGTCTTCACTGTAGGTCTGTCTAGCATTAGGGCAGGTGTGCTGTCATGGTAACAGATGGCATGAACTATAAATTGCCTCACTGTGTTCCCTGCAGGAAAGAGTCTCTGTTTGATTAATCATATAAGAGTCTGTTGGAGTAGCCCTCTCAGCCATCACGGACACCACATGGCTGCTGATAGATGAGATATTAACGTGCAGCCAGATGACAAAAACACTCCATCTCTGTCATCGAGGAATCCCATTTAAGCAATATTAATATATTATAACACAGCTAGCAACTTGTCTAAAATAAATTACATTAAAAAAATAGAGAAATGCTTTCCTACTTGGTAAAAGGTTTTGCAAAATTTAGGTGTAACAAATTCGGGTTAATTCAGCTTCTAATGGGAGTGCATGGCTGCTTTAGTTGTGAGTCACATCAGCCGCAGGTTTATAATTTAAGGATCCAGAAGCCGACCAATAAAGTACCGGAATAAAGGTTTAAGACTTTATGTTAATAAAGATGGGGACTTCAGTATGAAGTGTTCATGTATGTTTATGAGGGAAACTTCAGCTCAGGAGGATCATTTATCATCTTGACATTTTGCTGACACTTAACAAATCTAGCCTTTATGAAAAAGATCCTTTTTTAGAAAGGCCTTTAGACATCCAGTTTTAAAGTTTGTTGCAAGTCATAAAAGAAACCTTGCAGATATTTGGAAGTTGGTGATTGGATAAGATGAACTAAAATTCAAATTACTGGCAAATGTGAAGACGGTCTATGTGGAAAGCAATGAAAACACTACATCATGCTGTGGGCTTTTATTTCCACAGTAGAGTTAGATTGTTAAGGTTGATAAATACAGAGAAACACATGCATATTTTTAAAAACAAAATAAACTATATTTTTCTTCACTTCTTGATAATGTACAACATTTCTTTTAGTCTATTATAAAAAAAAAAACTGTAACATTTCTCTACCAACAAAAGAAATGCTGCACAAAGCTAACACAAATTAATTAAATTAATGCCAATTTTACATTACCGGTACATTGAATATTTGACAACTCTAATGCGTTTCTAGCTTTCTACTTCTCTTAAATTTATTTTATATAATTACTTTGGAAATCAAATTTTTATTTTCTTTTGCTTTCAAAGGGGCTCTTCAGTTTAGGAAAAGGCAAACCTAAAGCAAATGGATGGGGCTACAAAGAGGAAGAAAGCTCTAAATCCAAATCGCTTTAATTTTTTAAGATTCAAAACGTTTCAAACTGAGCCTTTTGGTCTCAGTAATGTTAACTGAAAAACACATTCTTGATCAAAGAGACAATCAATTTCTAAACAAAGAATGTGCTTAATTTCCACAGCAACATTTTTTCTTTTTCTTTTTATCCCATAGAAACAATGTAACTTTTTTTATTTCCATGGAAACATTAGACAATGAAAATAAAGTGGTGGCCTTTTGTTGCATTTTTAGATTAATTTGTCATTCTGCTGACTTTTTTTTTCCCCACTGAAGGACATATGACTCATTCATCAACACTGGAAACAGCATTGCAGAGTAAGAACTCTTGTAAGAGCATGTTTCTGTATGTGCCGCTTCAGCTCCACATGCACAATCAACAAGTAAATTAAAGTCACTGCATAAAAGAGATGCACTTATCAGCTCTTCTGTGAAGAGCCCTCCAAAAAGCTAAGAGCACACATTTAAGCAGCTGGAGTTATACATACACTTCAGGTGGATTAGCCCAGGCTAAAGTCAGGATGGTGATAACAGTCAAAAAGCCTCTGTTCAGCTACACTGTGTAAGTTTTTTCCCAAGTATTAGCTTGATTTAAAACTTCTCAATCTGCTGGTCCAAAGTGGTTTGCTATCAGAATCCAAAATAAGAGAGGGAGGCTGTTTAATTTGGTGACGTTGCATTGTTGCCAGTTATTTGCAGGTGCGCTAAACCTGGATGCTACTGGTCTAGCACCCCTAGTGGCTATATTTGGATAAATTGGAAACTTACCTTTTATAATAGTGAGAAATCAAAGTGAAATAAACAATCAATAAAAGCGGGGAAAAAATAGCTTTTAAAAAGGCTAAATTAAAACATGTCCGATTCATATCAGGTACATGCGATAAAATCACGAATCAGTCCTAAGATGAAATCTTTCAACGTTAAGTGTTTATAAATACAATATGCAGCACTGATATATAATTCTGAAGGAGGTCTTGCTACGCTACAACTGCTGAATTAATGTGTCTTAGCATCATTTGAATGTAGGGCTGCAATTTACGATTATTTAGCAAATCGATTAATCTGTTGATTATTTTTATGATTAAACGATTAATAATCAGATTACCAAAGGTTCCTCAAAGAAGAATTTTACTAAATTAAACCAGGAAAAACTAAAATGTTCCCCCTTGAGGAGTTCTGGATTGACCATATTGACAAATGAAAAAGTTTTATTTATCTTAAATGCTAAATATTTACATTTTTTTTTTTTATAATTTTGGTACAACTACTGCTCTAAATTGGTCGCTCTGTCAGCTAAGTTTTACAGTCTCTACACACCAGTTAACGATTAATCGATTATTGAATAATTTGATGATTATTTAAATACGGTAATCGATTAATCGCGATTAATCTGCTTAATTGTTTCAGCCCTGATTAAATGACATAATTGGGACATTACGACCTTGAAAATGGTCAGATCGGCCTCTCTGGCTGCAAAGCGCGCTCCCGACACAGGGGGAACAGAAACAGAATTTAGCACAAGACCGGTTCAGCCTCGGAGTTAGTACCCACCCTTTCCAGGAGAATTCCTGAAATAATTCGTTTTGGGACTTATAAGTGTTTCAAATGTTTTTTATTTGTTTTCTTAAAATGCTATTTGTTTTGAATTTTTAAAAGTGTTTTGTTTATTTTTATTTTTTAATGTAAATTTGTTTCCTGAAAGAATCATTTGTTTTGGAACTTGTAAAAGTTTTTTTAAAACGTAAATTTGCTTTCTCAAATGATAATTTGTTTTTTAGATTTTGAAATGCACCTCCCGGCCACCATAGATTTATGACAAATGCGCTGCA